ATGTCCACCAGGGCACCAACCTTCTTTACCTTCCCCACCTTTTTTCCTTATAGCCTGATTAGCAGCTTCTAAGATAGTATTACATATAGAAACATTTATTTCATCAATACTCCTACTCATATCCACTTTGTTCTCTCTCTCTCTCTCTCTCTCTCCTAATGCTTTCATATCCTTTTATAAAAAAATAAAATAAAAAAAAATCAAGATTTGGTTTAAGCCAAATTTCCGGAATACATATATCTAGATCTTTAAATTCTCTAACAAATCCTTTAAACTCTTGTCTGTTTGCAATAAGGCTTCTAGCGTTCCTTCTGCCCCTAGTCTCTTATTTATGTGTTCCCAGGATATTTCCTTTATACCAAAAAACCTCTCCACCCCTTTCACAATTATTTTATTTTCATCTGGGAAGCTGCACTTTCGTTTTGACATGATTTTAAATAAAGAAAATCAGATCTGGTTCCCTTGAGGCTGCATTGTGAACATAGCCATAGTTAGATCCTTCATTCCTCTAGTTGCTTGGTTGTAGCGGCTCTGGACACACAGTTATAGCAACTGAAACACTTGTTTTATCAGGTGCCAAACCAACTGGGCCAGAATGCGTACCTACATTATTTCCTAATCTAAGTTCTCCAACAATCAAAGGAGGATTTATCCAATGGCCAGATTTGAACTCAGGCTCTAAAAAGCAAAAAGATTAATGCTGACGGAGGAGCAACAGGAAAGACTGGAGAAGACAGAAGATGAATGCCATTAAACTATTTATTTTACAGCTTTAGTTTGGCTGAAAATATCAGAGAAAACATGGAAAAAGATTTAAATTTATATGAAACCAAAAAAAAAGCACATTTTTACAATCCATGAGGTTTTTATTGCAGTTCATCAATTTAGAAGTGGTTGCAATAATTAAAAACATCCACAGCAGAATATAGCAGCAGGTAAATAGAACATCTATTTATAGATATCAGCACCGACTCTCATACCCCAATGAGGCGTTGGCCGGCATTGGTGATCTAGGTCCGGATGTTTGCTGCCACAAATCTCAGTGGCTCCAAAAGCTCAATCCATGCAGTTCTGCCTCCAGCGTCTGGTGTCGATCGCACCTGTGCAGTTCCAGTTCCGGCACCAGATCTCTGATCACACCTCTGCAGTCCTGGTTCCGGAGCCAGCTGTCCTGATTGCTCCTTTTGTGCTCACATCATCCGGCGGCCCCAAAAGCCTGCTTCGGTGCGACGTATTCTTTGCAGCTTGTGAAACCACATTGCAGAAGGATCCATGGATCTTCCAAACGAGGCGGTTTTTCTACCTAAATGTAGGTAGCTAATATCCTATATTTTGGGCAATTAGTTGTTATTCCCGAAGGCGTTGGTTTTACGTGGGCTGAATAAAGACTATCATGCCGAGCTTTACTTCGGCTTGCAATAAAGTCAGTTATAAACATAACAATCATTGATGCTTTTACTAATTGTCTTAAAGCTACAGTGTGTAATAATTACAGGGATATACAGTCAGAAATGTAATATATTATACACAACTATGTTATTTATCATCATCTACGAGCTCAGCCTCTTAACCTTAATATTTGCGTTGCCTTAAAATTCGTTATTTATAATTACATAGGAGCGGGTCTCGCAGCCATGGAGGCAGACATCTTTGCGCTACGGCAGCGCAGAGCCAACAAACTAGCGATTGCGAGATCGCCCATTACGCTCGAAAGTAACTACGGCAAGTTGAGAGAGATGAACTGAGACGGTACTGAACAATAGATGGCAGTATTAAAATTATCTATGTAAACAAACCTCATCACTTGAGAAGGTAGGTGATGCGGACGTCGTGGAAGACATTTTGTCCCGTAACGCTCTCCGTACTGTTGGGGGGGAGATTTTCATGTTGCTGCGGTCTGCAGTCTGGACATTAGATGTTGCTGAAAATTACACACTGTAGCTTTAAATAAATACATAAATTCGACACTGATCTAAACCAAACACAGCAGAAAACTGTTGCTTCCTCTAATTAACAACACCTGAACAACAGAATCATGGTTGACCTTAAATAACCCCATCCCCAGCAAACAATCAAAACTCAAATTGAAATACGCCCCCTGGTGGCCATAAACACAGGAAACGACAAATGGCTCCTACACCAGGGGTGACCAATTAAAAATCAGCGGGGTCCAAATAAAGAAAATCAACAACCAGTGAATGTACGGAGACAGTTTTAATTGTAATCTGTTCTTTAAACAGCAATTAACACTGAAATAAAATGAGGTGTTTATGCATCCATGTTATGCATTTTTTTAAATAAAAAACATTTTTTCATTTTAAAATCTTAAGCGTTTTTTTTTTTAAGTAGAGAACAAAAGTCGTTCAGTTTGGTATATAGACAATTTACTGATTCACATATTTTATAAAACACCTGAACTGACTGTTTTTCTTTTTCTTTTTTATTGCTTAAGCTGGGCATGCACTGTGTGATTTTTTTGTCCCTTTCAAGTCGACTTCCCAGTCATGAGAGAATGTCTTTTGATCGGGCTGACTTTCAGCCTGATCGTGCGTCATGTAGTGTACATGGGGTAATAAGGGGCGATCAGCCCCACCAATTCCCAATCAGGAATCGTAAGGTCGGGAGTTGACTGTCATGGGCAAATGACTCAGTGGACATGCGTAAACAAGGACTCTTGTTATTCCTCCCAGATGAAAACACAGAAGCATGGCGGGGATGCAATGAGTGAAATAAGAGTTCTTCTGTAAAATTGACAGACCGTAGTAGCGACGTTTGCTCAGCCATGTCTTTGTCCAAATACGTCGCTGCCTTTTCTTTTTAGGACTTTCAGCACAAAATTGCACAAATTGCCAAGGCTAGTGCAGGCATCCCCAAACTCGGTCCTCAAGGCCCCCTGTCCTGCAGGTTTTAGAGGTTTCCTTGCTCCAGCACAGCTGATTTTAATTGAAAGCTGATTAACAGGCTTTTGGTCTGCTGCTATCATTATAACCAGCTGTGCTGAAGCAGAGGAAGGAAACCTCTAAAACCTGCAGGACAGGGGGCCTTGAGGACCGAGTTTGGGGATGCCTGCTCTAGTTAGCTTAAAGGGGAACGTTTTTTTTTTTTTTTTACATTGGGCCCTTGATTTTACGTTATTACATCATGTTCTACTCACCCATATGAGTTTTGTGTCATTTGGAGCCGTTCTGAAGATATTCTGTTAGGTTATATCAAAGTAAGTAGCATTTATGACGTCATTCGCGCATGCGCACTGGAGTCATAACAGGCAGCCACAGGTCGCGGGACAGGTCGCATTAGACCAAACTCTGACTCGTCTGGATAGAAGAGTCAGAGTTTGGTTAGTTCCATCTCACTGTGGAGCCGAGTCCGAAGTGGTTTCTAGATGTGCAGTGTGAGCAGGCAGGTCGCATCAGAGCGTCGTGCTGCACAGTGTCATGAGCTGTGAACTCAGACTGTACGAGTTTTTATTAAAAATATTAGCCCCTTGTTACCCCATGTACACTCGATGACGCACGATCAGGCTGAAAGTCAGCCCGATCGAAGAAATTCTCGCAAGACTGGAATAATTAGTATTATTATTAGAGTGTGAGCTGTATCTGCGTGCAACAAATTGAAAAATAAAAATCGCACAGTGGTACCAAGCTTTATTAAGAGCCATTCTCAAGCACATATCAAGGTGCTCATTTTTGAGCCTGGGTCGATATTAATTTTTGATTCTGTTCGTGGTGGAGAATCCTGCTTCACAGCAGCAGGTTGAGCCAAACATACTGAAAATGTGCAGGGTCACCTTTGAGCACACCATTTCACATTGTGGTCACCAGTTCACCACAGCTGCTCCAGCAGTCCCTACTTTCTCTGCTCTCTTTCTCTTATAGTTTTCTCCTTTCCCATCGCCTAGCTTGCCAGAAGTTTGCCTGTTGCATCTACAAGTAGCAGCAGCAGCAACCCAGACTGACAGCAGCTCATTGGATAATTTGTATCACATGCAGCCTGGTCTCGGACGCTACAGAGGGCTTTACCGTATTAACAGGAGAAGCGGCGCAAGTAAAGTTAGACACTGCCATCAGACAACATGCGGTAATTTAGAAATGTTTTAAATCAGGTTGGGTCCAGATTAGCCAGGAGGTGGGTCTGGATCCTGCCCGCGGTCCGCTAATCCATGACCCTTTGATCTACAGAGTCAAGAACAAAACTATCAGAATTAGTTCAAAGGAAAAAAAAAGAAAAAAAGCAGAAACTTTACACTTCTAAAGGAGAGTCAGATTTCTTTAATACATTATTAAGACAAAGGCTTTTTATCAAATTAAAGCAGGTTCAAACTGATCAGTAAAAATAACATCAACATCATCAATCCTGTTTATCTTTTTAAACAAACATGTTTCATCATTTTAGGACTTCAATTTACCTGAACTACAGACTCCAGCCTCTAAACTGAGTTCTTTGATGTCCCGTAGTTTAACCCCATAATCCCAGCACCCCCTTTCAAGGTGGCTGGAGCTACTTTGCAACATTAATTAGCTTGTAGCTGACTAACTCTGAGACTGACACACACTTATATATGTCCCAAATCTTCATGTGAGACTCCTCTATAGATGATCTACTTCATTCTAATATCTATTGACCATAGCTCTAACACTGGGCCAAAAACAGTTGGAGTTTTGGTGGGCCTGGTTTCAACAACACACGTAGCAGGGCTGATTGATGCATTGCTAATGAAAGCCAACAAGACACTGAATTAGCTAAACTCTGATCATTTGCAGCTGATCTCTTAGAAAATCCTCCAAAAACATCAGCAACACTGAGCAAAGCTCATTAAATCTGTCCTAGCTTTGCTTTTATTTTCATCAGAGGTGTCAAGTAACAAAGTACAAATACTTTCTTACTGTACTTAAGTCGACTTTTTAGGTATCTATACTTTACTCCATTACTGATTTTTCTTCCTACTTCTGACTTCTACTCATTAAATTTTCACACACAAGTACCTGTACTTTCTATTCCTTACATTTTTTTAAGTTACTCATTACTCTTCGGTTTAATGTTTATAAATATTAATTTTATTTGCTCCATCCAATGCAGATCATTGGCTCCACCCATGTCTAGTGAAAACTAGTGTAATTGGATAAGTCATAACGCAAACATTCATTGCTTGGCTATTCGTTAAATTTGTGCTGACGCCAAAGGAAATCATCAGAAGCAAGCATCCTTGGCCCTATCTCAAATAATTTTTTTGAAATAGTCGGAAAATTAAGCTTTAAATTCATATAGTGGCATCTGGCTGTTTTTTTTTAAAGGTTACTTTATACTTTTATAATTTAAAGAGTTTTTGGAGCATATACTTTTTCACGTTTACTTGAGTAAAGAGGTCAAGTTGATACTTCAACTTTTACCAGAGTGTTTTTAAACTGAAGTATCTATACTTCTACTTAAGTAACAAGTGTGTACTTTTGACACCACTGCTTTTAATCTGAGGATATTTTCATCTCAAATAAAGTCTGTTTCTGGAATATATCCAACCAATAGCTTATCATTCAGTTAAAAGTCTCAAAAATATATATTTTTAACCAGGTTTACAATATAACACTTGTGTGAATTATCATGTGTCTAGTCAAAAGATATTTTTGAGAAAACTTTTGCCACAAATCATGCAGGAAAAAGGCTTTTCACCCGTGTGAATTACTCATGTGAGCAGTCAAATAACTTTTTTCAGTAAAATTCATGTTACAAATTGTACAGGAAAGGGGCTTCTTACCTGTGTGAATTCTGATGTGTTTATCAAGATCAGATTTCTGAGTGAAGCTTTTTCCACAGGAAAGACATTCAAAAGGTTTCTCACCCGTATGAATTCTCATGTGAGTAGTCAAACTACTTTTTACAGTAAAATGTTTGTAACAAATGGTACAGGAAAAAGGTTTCTCACCTGTGTGAGTTCTGATGTGAGAAGTCAAACTACTTTTTACAGTAAAATTCTTGTTACAGATGGTGCAGGAAAAAGGCTTCTCACCTGTATGAATTCTTATGTGTTTATCAAGATCAGATTTCTGAGTGAAGCTTTCTCCACAGGACATACATTCAAAAGGTTTCTCACCTGTGTGAATTCTCGTGTGTCTATCAAGATCACATTTTTGAGTGAAGCTTTTTCCACAGGTCAGACATTCGAAAGGCTTCTCACCTGTGTGAATCCTCATGTGAGAAGTCAAACTACTTTCAGTAAAATTCTTGTTACAAATTGTACAAGAATAAGGTTTCTCACCTGCGTGAATTCTCATGTGAGTAGTCAAACTGCTCTTTTCAGTAAAATTTTTGTTACAAATGGTACAGGAAAAAGGCTTCTCGCCTGTGTGATTTCTGATGTGTCTATCAAGACTAGATTTCCTTGTAAGGCTTTTTCCACAAGACATACATTCATACATCTTCTGACCTGTTTGAGTTCTCAAATTAACCATTAAATGTTCTTTTTTTAGGAGGTTTTCTCCCCATGTCAAACATTGGAAAGGTTTCTCTTCTGTATCTGCAGGCTCTTTCTTCAGAACAAGCTGCTCTTCCTGCTCACTTATGGGGAACTCTATTGTTTCCTCTTTTGTCCAGGGATGTTCTGCTTCTTTCTGCTCTTCTTTTATCTGCAGAGGTTCTGGTTCCTCTTGGTCCAAACTGGAATTCCTCTCCTGTCCACAGAGCTGCTGGTCAGAGAAATCCTCCTCTTTCCCAACATAATTTTGAAGGCGGTCTGGAAAGGCACACACAGCAGAAAAGCAATGAGGTTATTAACTAAAATGGTAGATTTTCAAAAAATAAATATTTAATTCCTGAGGATTTGACTCAAAGTGGCATCTTTTCCAGAGACAGTGAGATGATAATCATTTTTGGCACATTTAAAACAAGCATGTTTAAAGAGAGTAAAACATAAACCTACTTAATATATTTAAATGTAGGTTGATAAAACAAAAAACATCCTAAATGTCAGAGAAAGGACTAAAATAGCACCTGAAAAAAGTTATAAATGGTTGACAATGCTTTCTAGTGGGACTGGGACATAAAAGGCGATTAGGAGTTTTCACCTGAGAACCCAAAAGACCCCCCCACAGGCTTTAGAGGGGGCGACTCAAAATTTAACTTTGAGGGACGGCAGCAGAATAGCTCATAAGACGTTCTGATTCTTAAGAGAGGTGACGAGGTCTTCAGAGATCCCCCTATTATCCCAGGTTGGGTTACAGCAGAATAGTAACAGGTTCGCTGTTTATAGACTAGAGTTAAATTATCTGTGGATAAATAGACTGAAAAGTGGTCATTTTACCGTTGACCCAGTTACAGGAGGTTCGGTAAAGATGGGCAGGCTAAGGGTTCCAGGAATCCGCCTAAACCCCCCCAGTGAGCGAAAAGGGCCTGAAAGGTTTGCATGCAATAATTAGAAATTTTGATCCTTTGTATTATAGCAATGTGTTTGTTTTCTGTTTGTCTTTTCTGTTGTCTGACTTTTTGTGGATTGTGAGATTGTCTGCTGTCCATTTGTGAAATGATAATTTAGCTATTGATAACTTAATTATTTACTCAATAGAGGTGAGTGAATAATTAAGGTTAAACTGTAAAATACGGATGAGGTTTCCGTAGCTCATTCTTTCCGCTAACCTGTTTTCAAAACAAAGCAGGAGTTAAATGTGTTAAAAGTTAATGCACAGCTGTTTGTTAGTGTTTGTCGTACTAAACGGGTTGATATGAGGTTCTGATATCAAAACAAATAAAGATTAATGAAACAGATTAAACAAATGAACAGATTTTGTTTGACAATAATTGGGCATGAAGTAAAAGGAACGGTCATTTTTTAAATGCAAAAGTTGACTTGGTTTATCTTAATTTTTCAAGGTTTAGATTTAATTTGTAAAGGGTACCGGTAAATAAATGTATATGTGTAGAGCAAAATAATTTGTATAAAACTAAATTAGGATGATTGAATTTGCTTTTAAACTACTAACAATTCATTGAGAAGTAAATGTAGCTTAAGCTGATCTGGAATAAATATGAAAATGTATATAACATAAGTAATTGTTAATAATTATACGGTGTTCCAATGACTCAATTTGAAATATTATTTAATAATAATAAAATAATAATAATAATGATAACATTAATAATAATGATTAAAATGACAGGATATAGATAACAGAATTTCATTCCTACATTAAGATGAATGGTGGAGACTTTAAAATGATCTATTCTTAATGAATCCATAGCTCAGATATATCTTCTTCAACAGAACATGTGTTTATTGTTCTGATGAAGAAAAAGGGTGGAGAAGAATATAAACCAAGTGTTAAACAGCAAACCTAAACTTATATGGTCCATGTGGAATTTGGGTTGGTAATTCACAGCAGTATAAATAACAACCTAAATAAAATACTAAATTATGACTAAACCAGTAAAGTGAATAAATGAGGGAATAAAATGGCCTTATAAAGGAAAATTATCTATTAAGCTAATTCTTAGTAGCAGAGGACAGAAACGACTGCTAGACTTCTGGATGAAGTTTGAACACCTCAGCCTGACTGTCTGATGTGCGTTTGGGAAAAACCAGCTTTGTTGATGTTTGTTGATGGTTCAGCTTCTTGCACCCCTGGTTCGGTGTTTCTTCACCTCATGAAACTCTTGTTTCTGGTTCTTTCATTTTGCTTCACCTTGGAAACATCGATCTTGAAATCGGATGGAAAGCCCATTTTCCTTTTTCCACACACATCATGTCTGGTGGAACCAACAGAAGGCTGTGCTTGTTTACATTGCTGCAGCCCACTGACACACACAGTCCTCTGCTGAGGAGAAGTTTGTTTGGATTTCTGCAGGTGCAGAAGTGATAAGTGGTACGAATACTAAGGAAGTACATTTACTGGGTAAGTTTGAAATTATGGAATAATTCAAGGATTTGTGACAAAGTTCAAATTTAATCTAAAGTTCTTTAAGCTACATGAACTTATTTTGATCTACTATTGTTTGTGAAAGGGTAAGATAACATCTGATCTGTCTTTCCCTCAGCTCCTTTAATTCAGACTGTTGGTAACTTTGACTCCCAGTTTTCCTCCACATGAGCTCATGACGGGTCGACCCGTTCCTTGACCACAGAAAGGGGCCAGACCACTGACCTCTGGCCAGACTGGGACTGACAGGTGACACATTATAATGACCTACAAGACCTTTTTCCCCTTAACCATCCTTCAGCAGGAGGAGGTGTGGCTCAAAGTCATCAAAAGAAAGTGATCAGAGCTCATCAGGAAGGAACCAGGAAAAGCTTTAACAATCAGAATAAAGGGGCAGAATAATCCCCTCTGATTGGTTAATTAACACATCAGTAGTCCACCTGATGTGTTAAAAACCAGCTGTTCTGCAGACGTTCAAAATGTCGCCTGTATAAGGAACTGTCGCTACCCGATCTGTACCGGTAGCACGATCAGTACCATCAGCTCATTTGCGCCTGCGCAAACTGAATAACTTCCGGGTCGCCAAAAGATAATGTAATTATGGTACTGAAAAAACTTTATTTATATCCTTAAATAATTAAAGAATACTAAACTACATCGTAAAGACAATATTGAAGACTTTTCTGGAAGAAATGGATGCTTTTTAAATTCAATCCATTGTATTGCTTGACGTCATTTTTCTGGAATAAAAATCCAAATTTTCGGGAAATGTTCCCTTATCAATGAAAAACTGCAGGTCACGAAAGGTAGCAAATGAATCCATTGTGGGATCAGTACTGCTGGAGTGCATAGTTAAGTACAGAGTAAATCAAATATTTAAACAAATTTAAATATATACGCTGTGTGACGTATATTTGCGCATGCTCAGAGCGGTCAAAGTAACTATCACAAGGCGATTGAACTTTTTTATGTATTTCTGTTTTTTATTTTTAGAAAATGCAATATTGACGAAAATACAAAGATATACAAAAAGAAACCCATGCCTCTAAAAAATACAAAAGAATAAAAAAGTAAGAAAAAGGAAATATTTCCACCGGAAGTTATTCTGTTCGCGCAGGCGCAAATGAGCTGATGGTACGGATCGTGCTACCGGTACGGATCGGGTAATGACAGGGACCAACATCAGCAGAAAGATGAAGACGCCCACCTGAAGATGACTGACATCAGCTTTGGCTTTTTGAATAATTAATTATAGACTTAGTGAGAGACAGATTTATTTTGTCCTTTTGTATACAGAGTGTATACAAAAAGAAATTTCGTTTAGAACAGCTCTAGACAATTTCATTGTAAAGTGCAGCCTTGAAAAACAGTAATAAATACATTAAAAACATAAAGATATAAACATATGACTATATTTACAGTTCTAACAATTTAAAAAAAATAAATAAAAAAAACAATTTTACACAACATTCAGCAGTCTAATGGCAGTGGGGAAGAAACTGTTCTGGAATCTGCTGGACCTGCATCGGATGGTTTGAAGCCTCTTCCCAGAGGGCAGCAGGGAGAACAGTCCATGGTGGGGGGGTGAGGGGACATTGATGATGTTACGGGACATGCACAGCGGGGATAAAATGTCTTTAATGGAGGGAAGAGGAGCCCCCATGATCCTCTCTGCTGTTCTCATCACTCTTCTCTGGGGGCAGGTGGGCTCTCCTCATCCTCTGCAGGAAGAACATGTGCTTCTGTGCCCTTTTGATCAGTGAAGTGGTGTTTATATTCCAGGTGAGGGTGTGTGTGATGTGCACCCCTAGGAATTTGGTGCTGCTGACCACCTCTACATCTGAGCTGTTGATGACCAGTGGAGCGTGGTTAGGACGGTTCTTCCTGACGTTAACAATGATCTCCTTCATCTTCTCCACGTTCAGGATCAGACTGTTATCTTTACACCAGCCCACCAGCTGCTCCACCTCCTCTCTGTAGATCTGGTCGTTGTCGTCTCTGATGAGGCCCACCACTGTGGTGTCGTCTGCAAACTTCACGATGTGATTGTGTATAATCAGGGTGAACAGCAGGGGGCACAGGACGCAGCCCTGAGGGGAGCCTGTGCTGAGACTGATGACATCAGAGGTTTTCTGTCCAACCCGGACTGGCTGAGGTCTGTTGGTGAGGAAGTCTAGCAGCTAATAGCAGAGGGGTGTATTGAATCCCAGCTGTTCCAGTTTGCCCATCAGATGCTGTAGGATGATGGTGTTGAAAGCTTGTCTAGCCCTGATCAGCTGGAGCTTATATGCAGGGATACGCATGACCAAGAGATGATCTAATGACCGGAGGTGGGGGCGGGGGGCTGCTCTGAATGCATCTTTGATGTTAGAGTAAACCAGGTCTTAAGTGTTTTCACCCTGAGTTTCAAAGTCCACATGTTGGTAAAAATGAGGAAGAACAGTCTTCAAGTTAGCCTGTTTAAAATCCCCAGCAATGATGAAAACACCCTCTGTGTGCAGATTGGAGCTCAGAGATAAGCAAATAAATAGCAAATGTCATTCAAGGACATTTGAATTGAGAAGGCTTCCTGGAGGGGAAGCGAAACATCTTCAAACCTTGGAAACCAAGTCCAGTGGATTGTTTTTATACTTTTACGGAATATTGCGTTATGATTTTAACATTTTGCATTGAGATTGTAGCCTAGTAAACTAGCCCCACCCGCCAGCAGCCAAAATCATTGTTGTCTGCTAGTGGGCCTAGGCTCGATCAATGCCCCAGTTCCTAGAACTGGCTGGCCAATCACAATGCAGAGAGGTATTTTGAATTTTTGGATGCAAAGTGGGCGGAATTTTGAGGGTGTGACGACAAA